GGGGGGATAAGAAGAGGGGGGGAATAAAAAGAGGGAAGGGGGGAATAAAAAGAGGGGAATAAGAAGAGGGAAGAGGGGGAATAAAAAGAGGGAAGGGGGGAATAAAAAGAGGGAAGGGGGGGAATAAAAAGAGGGAAGGGGGAATAAAAAGAGGGGAGGAGGGGAATAAAAAGAGGGGAGGGGGGTAAGAAGAAGAAGGGGCTAGTAAGAAAAAGATGGAGTAAGAAGAGGAGGGAGTAAGAAAAAGAGGGGGAATAAGAAAAGGGGGAGGGGGGAGTAAGAAGGAGGGGAGGGGGGAAATAAGAAGAGGGAGGGGGGAATAAGAAGAGGGAGGAGGAATGAAGATGAGGAGGGGGAAATAAAAAGAGGGGAGGGAGGGAATAAGAAGAGGGAGGGGGGGAATAAGATGAGGGGAGGGGGGAATAAGATGAGGGGAGGGGGGAATAAGATGAGGGGAGGGAGGGGAATAAGAAGAGGGGAGGGGAGGGAATAAGAAGAGGGGAGGGGGGGAATAAGAAGAAGGGGCAGCTCTATAGGACAGGGGCCAAGACAGGGAGCTCTTTCACACTACGCGCGCACACACACACAATGTATCCCTATACATACACAGAAACACAACATGCTTCCCTTACACACAGAGAAACACACAATGCATCCATTACACACACACACACACACAATGCAACCCTTACACACAAAGACAATGCATCCTTTGCACACATACACAGAAACAGACAATGCAAACTCGTACACACGCATGCAAACACACACACTTCTTTTCTTACATACACACAGAAACACAATGCATCTCATGCACACACATACAGACACACACCTTGCATCCCTTATGCATACAAACACAGAGTCACACAATGCATCCCTTACACACAACCAGAAACACATAATACATCCCTTATACACAAATACACACTGCTTCCACTACACACAAACACACTGCATCACCTGCACAAACTGGTAACCCTAAACACTACATACCATAAGCACACATATTAGATCCTCTACAATAACACATAACACATCCCCTACACACTCCACTCCCTATGAGCGAACTCATGGGTGGGTGGAACTTATGAGTGGGCCTTATGGGCATACTCACCGTCAGGCCCTGGGGCCCAGACCTTGAGCTGTGTAAGAGGCCCCAAAAAAATGGAGCTGCTTCCAATTCTCCCAGAACATTGAATTTTGTGACCACAGTTGCAAACAGCCTCCAGAGATCCTGTTCTACACCAGACCAGTGGAGCCAAACTGCAGCCCATCATCATCCTCATCTGCTTGTAAGTAGGCAATCTAGTATATTATTAGTGACACTAATCTATAATTTACCTCACATTAAAGGGACACTATAGCTTAATGAAGTGGTTCTGGTGTCTATAGCTGGTCCCTGCAGGCTTTTTAATGTAAACACACACTGTGTGCAGCACTGGCGTTAGTTCATATGGCAGATCATATGGGTGGGGCATTGTGATGTGACATGTGGGGGCAGCAAATTTTTATTTTGTCTAGGGCGGCAAAAATCCTTGCACCGGCTCTGATCATGGGCAGGTGCACCAGTCTACTGGTGACCCACAGGAGGGGAGTGAACTGATTGCACTGCACTCTCCTCCTGCCCAGCCCCGTCTTTACCGCAGTGCAAGTGCCCTCTGCCCCTAATTTACAGTGGCTCACACTCACAACAAGCAGTGCCTGGAGCCGTGAAGGAGCAGGTATGGCAAAGAACTACTGATTAGCATAACACCAATAACCGTTATAAAACCAGGAAAAGGTGGGCATGGATGGTGAACTGATTTGGTGGTGCAATGGGCCACTTGACTGGTTTTGCCCCCCAGGCCTAAGGCTGCCAGCCCTCCCCTGGGCACGGGCAACAAAACCAGTGTGTCAGTGTCGTAGAGTAGGTTTTCACAGGAATGTAGCAAGAGAGAGCAAACAGTAGAAACATTTGCTGTTCAATAAAAGAAAGGAAAAAAACTACTTGCAAAAATAGTTATAAAGACTAGTAAGAGACAATACGAACTGATAATGCTACAACATTACTTGGACTATTGTCCAAGAGCAACAATGGTGCGACTAAAAGCCCAAGATTATCAAATATAATAGAAGCCTTAAGCCATGTAAAAGAAAAACTCTAATAAAAAATAATAATAATACCCGTATAATTAACATATATATTTTGTGCTTCTACAAACGTATATCACATAGTGTGATAAATACAAAAGGACATAAAACTGGGCATAATGTACCTAACTGAAACTTCATATCAAGGTCTCTGTTGAGAGCCCATGGAAAAACCAAAAGGAAACCCATTCACCCAATGATAAATAATACCATGTAGGTCTCATTCCAGAGTTATTCCATTGCGGCATTGAGTTTTAATATTATATATCCAAAAGAAACTTCACATTTCTTCAATTTTGCTTCCGTTTTACATCCCCTTAATTCTATAGCATTAAGTCATTTCTCAAACCTCTGAAATAAGAAACGAGTTACACTTTCATTAAAAGACTGAATATGTCATGATCGTGATTGTCAGGACTATCCTCATGATTCCCTGGACTTTTCATGATTTTTCTCCATATCCTAAAAGTGCTGGCACATTCTCTCTTTGGGTTCTCTTTTGATTTTTCCAACATATTGCATCCTACAAAATAAACACGTAACGAGATGATGATGATCTACATTTCTTGTGCATCAAGTGTTTGGTTTTATTGGTTTGAGATGAGACAGTTGAACTAATCAGTGATCCAATAGTTTCAAACTACTAACTTTTTAACCTATAACCACCGATACCTACCTCAGCAATAAAGCCAGGTCAAACTCCTATTTTCCTGTCCACAACACAATTAGCTTTGAGAAATAATCAATCTTGACCTTCCCTCTATTTTGTACCCTTGTGCAAGCAAAGAATCTATAACTAACAATACCACATTAGGAACCTTACAGAAAGAAATGACTGGGGTTTTAGTGAAAGCTAACCCATTGAATGCCAGGGAGATGTTCTTGAATGGTTAGCTTCCTCTATTCAGAAGGTTATTTAGCATGTGCTGCAATGCAGAGTGACTGACAATGTCGGAATGTCCATGACAGATTAACATTGTATTCCCATTCATTACACTGGGGTTTTTGCTGTGCTCTGCATCGCCTACATGCATTAGGCAATGCTGCTCATGTATAATGGAGGTCTGTAGTTTTTGCTTGCTTTGCACATTCTTTTCAGTCTTCTGTTCTGAATAATTGTCATTGAAAATTTCTCAAGCATGTCTGTTAAGAATTCCAAAAGTAGGTCATTTATAAAATAATTTTTTATGAATTTCTTTTTATCGTGTGCAGGCAGCTAGGATCGTGTAAACATAAAGCCATGTTTGTATACTTTCAATCCCCTGTCTGAAAAATGGAAATACAACAGCTAGATCCACCTGTATCTCAACTCTGCAACATCGCCTGTTGCAGACGTGAAGGAATCTGCCAGCGTGAAAATTATTAACATAATGAGATGTTCTGCAAAACTTTATGGGCTTGGGAAAATAATGTCTAACATGTCTCATACTGTGTGAGTTTATTTGCCCAGAATCGTTTCACAGTTCACACAGAAACTGCTTCTTCTGTATATGAACTCAAAAAATATATATCTATAATTATATGAAATGAACAACAAATCTTTTAATTAGGAGTTTTGTACCTGTAGTACCTGGTTATGTCACTGAAGTCAATGTTAAATGCATTCAAACGTGTATGAATAGCCTGCGTTGCACAAGAATGTATACATCAGTGACGTCTGGTGCAAAGTTAGTTTCCTGCATGGCCTTTAGCCAGAAAATGTACAGTTCTAGATGTTAAAATGTTACAATTACATTGAAAAAACGATGTAACTGAATTATGTTTGTCTGTAGATACACGAAGAAAAAAAAGAAGGGACAAGTCATATAAACAAATGGAAAATTAATCTAAAAAGAGAATACAAGTTTTTTTAAAAGAAATATATAATATATAATTTATGCAGTCAGTATGTCATTAAAACTTAATGTTTTGTGATGCTTCCTCACTCTTATATGATGCTGAACGGTATCTCTTTATGATTGTGGGTCCTCTGCTGTTTGCCTTTGAATTGGCTGTGGCTGGTAGGTTTCTAGGCTTCTTGTTCTAGCCTTTGTTTACTATATTAGGACTGACTTTATCAATGCATAGCAAAACACTAGCAGCAACTTTGAGTCTATAAATACATAAATACATGTGGACTCTAACTGGGAATATACAAAATTGAGGCATAAAAAGCATCTCCCAAAAGCCTGCTTGGACATAGGGTGACTAGACTCTGGAGGGACATCCCATAGATCAAGCTTACTAACCTGTATACCAATGCTCTTTTAGTCCTGCTTCCCTCATACCACGCATCTCCCTTATCTTCCTACTATTATGGGGTCTTCTGTGGGAATTAACCTATTGAAGCAATAGTTATTTCTTATGTCTCTAATTATAACTCCTCAGTTTCTCTCAGTCTACTGTTTTACTTTACCTAACATAACTTGTCAATCCCTGGTCCAGCCCTATAGTTAAGCTTGTTGTTTTACTTTGCTTAACATAACTTGTCAATCTCAGGTCCAGACCTATAGTTAAGCTTACTGTTTATTATACTATAAAATTGTGCATGCACTATCTATAACCCTTCATGTAACCCCTCAAAAACATGGCCTGCATCTGCCCCTTTCTTACGCAAGATGCTTGTCCATGCTTTAGTAATTTCCCACATGGATTACTATAACCCTCTCCTGATTGGTCTCCCCAAAAAGCCATATTGCCCCACTACAGTCTGTAATGAATGCTGCAGCTAGACTGATCTTCCTGTCTAGTCGGTCCTCTCACACATCACCCCTCTGCCAGTCCTTACATTGGCTCCCTGTATCCTATAGGAGTCAATTCAAAGTGCTAACCCATACATTTAAAGCACTGAACAATTCTAGCCCTTCTTATATCTCCTCAATGATCCATAGGTATGCCCCCCCTTGTTCCCTTCGCTCTGCCCGTGACCACCTCCTGACCGCTGCTCGCACCCGTATGGCCTACTCACGCTTGCAGGACCTCTCGTGGGTGGCTCCTTTCCTATGGAATAGCCTGCCTACCGCCATCAAACTCTCCCCTAGTCTTCAATCATTTAAGAAGAGCCTTAAAACCCATCTCTTCAGGAAAGTTTATGGCCTCCCAGACTAACCTCTACCTTACATACCTGTCTCTTGCTCTCTCCTATAGGGCAACACTCTACCCCCTCCTCCAGCTGTGCTTCACTCCCACCTTATTTGATTGATATTTCCTGTCCTAACGTGTCTTATACCCCACCCCCTATAGACTGTAAGCTCGTTTGAACAGGGTCCTCTTCAACCTATTGTTCCAGTAAGTTTTCTTGTAATTGTCCTATTTATAGTTACATCACCCCTCTCATATTGTAAAGCGCTATGGAATCTGTTGGCGCTATATAAATGGCAATAAAAATAATAATGTAAATCATGATGCCATGCCTCAGGAATGCCGTTGTACCAACGTTATGCACTGCAAATATATAAAATGAAATGAAATGAAAAAAAATATTCAAATATAAACACGAACTACTGGTATTCATCTGAATTCTGTTTATTATAGCCAATAGTGAATATAGAATTGATCCCAATCAGCAGAAACTAGAACTCAAGTTCAGTAAGCACATGCTTATGAAGGTAGCAAGGTCAGGTGTTGCTTGTAAGAGTGTTTTTTTCACTGTTTACTGATTTATACAATACTATTAAAAGTATTTAATTATGTATTGATTGATGTGCTGATATATATCATGTTATCAATGACATTCAAATAAATAAAAAATAAACTGTGTAGAATATAGAAATCATTATGAGATTTGCAATGAAATCCATGTATTTCTTGCAAATTAAAAAAAGGTATATATTTTTCATCTTTTTTTACAATGCAGCTTATTTTTTATCTTTATTTTCAATTTCAACAATAGAAAATAAAGTGTTACAAAAAAAAAAAAAAACTAAAAAGGAAGATGTAGGGCAGATCTAGTTGTAGGACACCAAGACCCTATTTAACATAGGTCCGTCAAAGATGTTTTATTGAGTTTAGTGTCACAAATTTTTAAAGCACATCTCGAGTCAGGGCACGTATATGTCATATTCCCTTTGATTATTATAATACAAATCCTAAAAAAAATTATCAGAAATCATTTAAAAATAAGTAAAAAAAAAAAAAAAATTAAAAAGTAGAGCATTCACAATACAGCACTGATTTTGTTTTTTGAGACATTCCAATTTCCACATTTCGTAATGAGTTTCATTATTTTCAAAACCTCAAATTAGAAATAGGTTTGGGATAATACATTCATCCTATACAGTGGTTACAAAAAATAAATGAGACAACATAGATATAAAATTTGAAGATAAAATGTGCTCAGGGCAAAGTGTTCAGTAGATACACTTGATATATTTCTGTCTTGTCTTTTGTGTTCTGAAAATAACCAGAACTCTAATATTATAAGGTTCATCTTAACCTTTCAGAGAAAAACTGTATCTTTTGTCTTCTACCCAGAAAACCTCTTGCATTGCACTGCACTAGGTCATGTGTCTCCAATATTGATATTTCAAAATAAAGGCAAATAAAAGATTTAAACAAAAAAGGATTATATAACCTTTTTACTGAAATATGCACCTTCTATTCCATTACATTTTATATGTGGATTTCTTTGCAAAGCCCTACAAGTTATATTACAAGTGAAGATAACAGAAACATGAGATGATATCGAGTAATTAATTCAGTGTGCGAAATGTGTGTAGAATGAAGGTTAATTGTTATTTACCAAATATTTAATTGCAGGGAAACTGCCTGGAGACAAATCACAAGGTACATAGTAATAAAAATTGCCTCATAGTTAGAGTGTATGATATATATTGTCTTGGAAATGTAAAGACGTATTGACCATTGCCATAGACATTCTAGAGCTGTGAATCATTAGTCATCTAATAAGTATTTGTTGGATCAATATGCTTCTACATTTTAATTTATTGTTTTTGTTATTGACTTGTGTATAATGTAGATGTGAGGAGTGCAGTAGATCTCAGATTTGATCAAATTTCTGATCATATCAGAACTACTAGAGTTTATTGTAGTTGTTCTGGTGAGCATAGTTAGTCCCTGGATGCATTTTAATGTGAACACTGTCTTTTCAGAGAAGAATCCGTATTTTACAGCCTAGGGACACCTTTAGTGGCCACTCCTGAGACTGTTACTAGAGGTGCTTCCTGGGTCAGTGCTGTACAGTGTAGACACTCTGCATGGACACACTGAACTTTCTCCATAGAGATACATTGATTCAATACACCTCTATGAGGAGATGCTGATTGGCCAGGGTAGCATTTGGCTCCTCCCCACCCCCACCTCTTGGCTGAGATCATCAGAATTGATGATCACACCCAATCCAAAACTTTCTTATGGGAAAGTCTTGGATTGGCTTAGATCATCAATTCTGATGATGTCCGCCAAGGAGGCGGACACTGGCAGGACCAGATTCAAGGAGCACCGCGCGGTGCTGGAAAAGGGTGAGTAAATCACCTTTCTTAGTTAGGTAAGGGGGGTTGACCACCTAAAGAGTGGTTTTAGAACTATAGTGTCAGAAATACACATTTGTATTCCTGAAACTATAGTGCACCTTTAATGTGTGTTGGCTTCTGCTAACAAGGATATCAAGAACAGCAAAGTACGATAACTGATTTCTTAGTTACCCTAACAGATGAGGAAATATCAAAACAGAGCTGTTGAAATCTCAATCTTGTAATGTTATCACAGTATTTTCAACACAGCATTACAGTAGCCTTCATTTCAGGAATATTAAAATGTGTCATCAGGGGTTACATTTCAGAAGTCAGGGTTTGTCATTAGGGCGGTATACGTGTTGACCCAAAACATGTTCTTCTGAAACTTCAAACATTTTACAGTGATAAACACCTATGATGATTCGTAGAAAACTGCAAAGTAATGTGGGTTTAAAATGGTAAACTTCCTACAGACATTGGATACACTGCCATGTACTATCCCAACTTTTTGTTGTTGTTGTGTCTTATAATTATATTGTGTATGTCTATTTATGCACAGTTTTCCTGGGTTTATTGACTTTTTTTTTTTTTAGATTTTCAAAAATGTATTTCTGTGACAGTCATGTTTATAATGTAGCCATGCACTGCATGTACCTTTGCATGCTATGTCAACAACTGCATATCCCTGATACATTGTATAAATTATGCTGACATACTAACAGTAATAAGTAAAGAAGTTTCAAAAACGTAGTCTACCAATCAAACAATGTAGTATTATTATCTAGTGAAGAGCAGTGCTCCTCAACCCTCTCCTCATGGCACATCTAACAGTCCATGATTTAGGGATTATCCACGTGTGTCTAATGTGTTTAGAAAAAGAAAAAAAACAACTTTTTAGTTGTTTTTTTAACACACCTGGATGTGTTCGGTGTAACTTGAGTAGAGGGTTGAGGAGCACTGGTGAAGAGTACTAAACTTGCATACATTTTTTGTAGTCTTACTACTTAATTGTATTTGTGTAATCAAAAATACTTTTACGTAATTTCAACTAACTTTTTCTAGAAGTATAATACTTCTACTAAAATAGCCTAAATAGAATGCTGACGATGAGAAAAATCTTATTATTTTGCCTTTTGGATACTTAGTTCCCTCTCAGGTCTCAAACATGTTAAGCTCAGACCTGTTTATACAGGTAGAACCTGTCCTCTTTTACTATTAGACAAAGTTACAGGGTTACTTAACTGATTTGTTGATCGATTAATTCTGTTTTTCCTCTAAAACATGAATTTATTTTATGCCAGTTTTGAATTTGTTAAAATGTGAAAAATTGTTGTAGGTTATTTAGTTAGTTTGTTTAAGCATGTACCCAATCATTGTGATTATAGATAATGTATCTATAAAATGGTTTATGTTATATGTTCTTAATGATTTCTTTGTTAATTATCTTTACAGAGCACTCTGAAGAGAAGAGGTAGCAGAGAGATGCACAAGGATAAAAAGATATCTGGACAGGTGTTTTGATCGTGTTACATAATATTTTGATAAATAAATTATAACAGTTTGGTGAAGGTCTACTTTAAGAGACTCTGCCAGTTATATTTTGTGTTAGGAAAAATCCATATTTTACAGCTTAGGAACACCTTTAGTACATGGAGAAGTATGTACGAATAAATGTCAAAAAACATGGATTAATAAAATAGTGAACTAACGAATGTCACAATTGTGCAAATATTTCCCACAGTATAACTATTTTAACTTGTCCTGTGCTAATATACATGATGCTAAAACTTTGTTGGCGTTAATGTATAGCTATTTGCAGTATTTTCAAGTTTGGCGGGTATTTAAAACATAATTCTTTGTTCACTCAATTTTTTTTTGTGATATGTGATATGTGCCTCCCATAAAGTTTTAGAATTAATGTTTGATGAATAAACGAAACTAAGAAAGGATAAAAAAAAATAATAGAAGGCACAAAAGAGGAAAGCCTCTACAGGCAATATTTATAAAGTAGAAATCAAATGTTAATCATGGAGAATCATTAGATTGATTTTTGCGATGATTGCTCCTTATTCTATATATTACATGGAGCTAGAGTAATTCACATTCACAGTCTGGCTAAATCAACAGGTGCTTGTTAAAATCAATCTAAAATGCAGACATCACTTCATCAATGGAATCTTTACACTTGAATGTGAGTTTTATATTCTGCCGTAATCAGCTCTAGAATTCCATTCTATAAATTTGCTAGGAAGGCTTCAGTCATCTACTATTATTTTAAGAAAGGTAAAATAAATGCCAAGGCACAGCTTAAGTGATTTGAAAATAAGTATCTATTTATTCTTTTCTTGTTCAATTTGTGTTTGTGTTATAAAGGTAAAAATAAGACCCCATCCATCTTGCTTGTTTAACAATCTATGCCAAATGTATTTTCCATGACAGGGTTATTTATGAAGAAGTGATTAATATGGTAAATCGTCAGTATTGTATGATCGTTCTTAATAAAGCTCTTTACAAGCAATAGAGATATTTTATTTTCTGCTGAAATATAATGACAATCAGACTCCATTGTTAACAGAAACTTCTTTTTTTTTCTTTTGCTTCTAGGAGGACAGTGCTGATCTAAAATGCCAGTTACAATTTGCTAAAGAGGAAGCAGTGTTGATGCGGAAGAAAATGGCAAAGTTGGGAAAGGAGAAGGATGACCTAGACCAGGAATTGGAGAAATACAAGTCTATTTATGGAGATGTTGATAGTCCTCTTCCAACTGGGGAGACTGGGGGTCCACCAAGCACTAGAGAAGCAGAGTTAAAACTTCGCCTTAAGCTGGTTGAAGAGGAAGCCAACATTCTGGGCAGGAAAATAGTTGAGCTAGAGGTTGAAAACAGGGGTATTAAAGCTGAAATGGAAGATCTCAGGTGTCAGTATGAAAAAGAGTTTCTAAGCAGGGAATATGTTTCAAGCATTCCTACCTCACCATATGGTGATTCCATGGAATCTGCCACAGAACTGCGTCGACATCTCCAATTTGTGGAGGAAGAGGCAGAGCTGTTGAGGAGATCCATTTCTGAGATAGAGGATCACAACAAACAGCTTACTACTGAGTTGAATAGATTCAAGTTTGGACCAGACCAGGATCTAGTCTGGATAGATGACAGCGCCTCTAAATGCAATGGATCTGTGCAGGAGGAACTGAAGACAGCTAGAACCCAGATCAATGAATTAAGTGGGAAGGTGATGAAACTTCAGTATGAAAACAGAGTTTTATTGTCTAATGTTCAACGTTACGATCTTGTATCTCACTTGGGAATGCGAACAGCAAGCCCACGGGATAGCGATGCAGAAAGCGATACAGGGAAGAAAGAAAGTGATAGCGATGATGGGCGTTTTACTCAACCAAAGAGGGAAGGACCTGTTGGTGGAGAAAGTGACTCTGAAGAAGCTTACGAAAAGACATCTGGTTTTGAGAGTGTAAAGCCTTCCGAAATTGGGGACCTCTATTCAGTTAAAACTAAAGAAGATACACATTTATTTCTAAACGTAAGACGTGAGGCTGAAAGGTTAGAGAGAGCTTTGGATAGACTTATTACAGATACTGATGGATTGATCGGTGAAACCAAAGTGCAGATGTCAACCTGTTCCATAGGCGAAGCAATAAAAAGCTGTCCAGAAAGAGAATGCTACACAGAGACAGATATTTTAGATAGCATCAACACAAAAATGAAAGTTTTCAAGAAAGAACTGCATAACTTTGTAGAAATAGTGGATCACACAAGGAATAGCCTAAACGAACATGGAGAAGACCTGTCACCGATGCCTAATCTCACTGAATCTTCTAGCTTCTTGTCCAATTTGACTTCAGTGTCTCGGGATTCCCCTATTGGAAATCTAGGAAAAGATCTCACTGCAGACTTTCAGGTACATACATGTGGCCTTTTTTGACTTTTTTTTTTTTTTTTTGCTTATTGTTGTCATTAACAAACATGCACTATTTTGTTCCCCAGATGGTTTATTAATATATTATTTTGCATTATTTATAAGTAAATTATCCTCAATATAGTACTGCCCAGGAAAAAAAAATAACATTTTGTCACTGCTATGTAACAATCTACTACTCTTGAGCTGATATTTTGTACGTAGGCTGAAGAATTGGCAGCCAGTAACATTAGTGCATTTTATTAATTGTGCATGACTAATGGACCAGACCCGTGTGGCTTTCGATGATTTAACAATGGGGAAGAAACATTGTATGCCGATGCTATCATGGCTTGCACGCTTGCTACCAGTATGACACACTGCATCTTCCATTGCATGCGCGTCTCATAACCAGTGTTTGCGTTCTTTTTTCTCTTTTCTCCTTTTTGCTTTTCAGATGATTCAGCCCATTATTTTGCTCATTATCATTTTGGTTTTGTTCTCATCGCTCTCTTATGCCACCATACTTAAGTTAGTTTTCCTCTTCACGCTTTTCTTTGTTGTGTAGTATTTTCAGACGTCTTCTTTACCCATTTTATTTTTTTATTTTACTTTTTGTTTTTTTGTTTTTTCTTTTATCCTCCCACCCCTTGTTTGTTTTTGTTTATATATTACCCATGCACCTTGCAGTCCAAACTGAGGGAACAAATGGAATGGCAGCACGGCAATGACCTTGAAGAAGATAGTCATCGTGTTCTTGTAAATCATGAGTCACATCGCAGAGCTGACGGAGACATTAAACACTACTGGCCAAGAGACAAGGGCTGTTTCAGTCTAGAGGTCAGCATTATCACATTACACATTAGAAATGAGATCTGTATATACAACATTGCAATGCTTAGCTTAAAAAAAAATATTGTTTAGAAAAATACCAAAGTGCAAGTATTAGAATGCACATATATGTTAACTTCTGTTATCCAGTTCATGTTATTGAACCACCGCCCTACATTTTAGATAACTGTACATTGTTTATTCCAGGGTCAGATCAACATAATATTAATATAATATGTTCAGTTGATTTTGTTGGTAATTATTCATTATGAAACTGATGACAACAGCTCTCAGTCTATGTACTAATCCTACACCACTAGGCTTCATTCAGGAGAGCTAATGTAAGCTCTTAAGCATGATGTTCTGTGTCTCAGACTAGCTGGAAAGAGACAGGGGGTGGCACTGTAGTGGTTATGGTGATTGTTGTGCCCTGGCTCCACCCTCCATTGTAAGGAGTCACTTCTTACTTGGGGTTTGCTGTGGCCACTCCCTGCCTCTACTACTAATGACAGAGAGCAGGATATTCTTAGCAGGAACTGTTCTGCAATGCAGGACTTGGCTGAGAGCAAAAATTTATATTTAGGAACTTCCAGCTCTCTCGCATTAGCAGTGAAGGATGATAGCAGTGCCCGGCTGATCCCAGGTAAGAAGCCAAACTCTTCAACAATGGTTTGACTACTTGCAAGCTGTAGTGGTTATGATGCTTGCAGTAACGCTGAAAGATGGACTATCCTACAGGTGTTTCAATCTCGCCAGGGAGACACGGACTTAATATTTGATAACATGCTGGAATAGTACCTGTAGAAGCAGGGTTTCTAATCTTTATGTACCAGGATGGAATGTAACACAATTTATTCATCTTCCCTTGACATGAGACAAGTTATACAATCTTACAAGAACAGAAAGCGTTTTTTAATGTTATTGTTACTATAGACTTAAAAACTAATGATTTGTTAGAACATTGGTAGAATAAATAGTTCTCAGTATGCTTCACAGAAAACCCAGAGCTGAGTCTAGTTTTCTGTTTTGGGTGGTGTAATGCTAATTCCAATTTCGAATACATGGCCGTAACCTGAGAGGTAGTTTATGTTCTGTTATGCTAGACTAGAGGATCAAGGAGTCGACAGTATAGGGCAGGGATAGGCAACCTTCGGCGCTCCCCCATAATGCTTTTACACCCATAATGCTGGTAAAGCATCATGGGAGGTGTAGTCCAAAACATCTGGAGTGTCGAAGGTTGCCTATGCCTGGTATAGGGATGATTTCTATGATCTGACAAAATAAAGAAAAATATGCATGTATTTTTACAGTTGTCATTATTATATTTTTAAATTATCTAAATTAAATATGAAATGTATTAAATAAATAAACTACCATAAAGGACAAATTAAAATATATTTAATTTGTATAATGTCTGGGGTTATTATACATATCTACATAATATGCATGTATATCAACATGTATTTTATTTTCATATATTATACATAATTTCATCAGGGTTATTTCACTAAAGTGAGAATTAAGAGTTAATTCTAAGTGATTTAAGGTCAAAATTCTCTAATTCAGCTATAATTCCAGTTTAGCAACTTTGGACTTTTATTTAAAATCCACTTTGAATTCTGATTTTAGTGAAGAACTCTGTAATATACATAATGGATAGCTCCAGATTTCAGGTCATATGCCACTAAACAGGCATGAAAGTTAGACAAAACAGACAATTAACAGGATATATTATCTTGAATGCAATAATTGCTTACCCCTAATGCATAGATATGAAAGCACTTTTTGCACACCAACTCCTTGTGGGTTATTTTTTGTTGAAGGCATAAAAGTTACTTGCCACTGCAAGCCATGGTAAATTTAACATTCACTAAGCTAAATGTCTACTTGCCAAGTCTACATTTTCACTCTGCTATGACTAGTGGGCATGTGGAATATTTGAGCCCTGATAGAGCATATTATGTCTATAATATATAGATATATATTAATATAATGCACATTAATATTTATAGTTAAATCCCCCTCTTATAATATTGGTGCTATATAAATGGCAATAATAATAATGATAATGTATATACACAAAATATACACATATACAGGGTGGACCAAAAGTAGGTATACATTATATGTAACTGCATTATAAGTTCTAAATTCTTTTTATCTTCCCTCCACTATTCTTTCCAACTGCCAAACTGATGTTTAAATGCCAGAAATGTAACTGCCACTTTGTTGTGTATCAGTGTGTATGTGTACCCATATTATCTGTTGTGATGCATTTCATTGATTCAACTATAAACCTACTTTTGGGCTACCCTGTATATAAAAATTCTCACTTTTTGCACAGATATTCGATATACTCCTAAATGTATCAAATTGCAAACAAGTATAGGTTAGGTTAAAAAAGCTGATTTGAAATAAGTCGGTTATAGTAATTGTTTGATTGTTTGTGCCTAAATGTAGCATTTTGGATTTTTCTATGTGCAAAACACTCAGCATCTACTGAATAATGTTGACTATCTCTCAGTCTTTCTAAAAATACACCCAATATCAAGGAATGCACTTATAGGCCTTATGTCAACAGTAAAATCGATTCAGGGCTGCTCTGTATTCCCAGTTAGGTACTAAGAGAGCCATTGAGGAATATTGGTTGGCTACAGTGACCACAGTAATGGATATATAATTCTACACTGGAAGATTTACAAGGGAACAATAAGCCACAATGTACTTTTTAATAAAGATCAAGAATTAAACCACCTATTCTTTGAGAAACAAATCTGCATGTTAGACCATGTCCACAGTAATGAAGGAGAGTAGTCAGAAGCAACAACTAGAATTATACGTTATTACACGTAATACTTACAAAATATACTGAAGAAACAGCAGCAGTTCAAAGACCAACGCGGGCTGTTGTTTGCAGCTAAAACGTGTAAAACACATGTCTTCCACCCTCCCTGACTCTTTTATAACATATTGAAAAGTCAGGTAATATACATGCATGAAGACTATTATATGATGGAAAAAGTATGCTAGAATATGGATGTATGCCGACTTTCTGAGTACGAAACATTTAAATGTTGGATTATATACATTAACGTACAACCAACATGATCTAACTTTACAATCACAAGACAACATCCTGTACCTTGTAAATAAGGTGGAACCCCTCAAAAATACTTAAATATCATATAAAATTATTTATAAATTAATTGAGTTACCCATGTGTCAATTTGCTTATCCTTAATTTATGTTTGTTTTCTTTTTTTTTTTTCTTTTTTTTTACAGTCACTAATTCAATGAATAAACCTGATTAATCTGGACAACAGTGTGTTTCATGCAATAACACTATAATTTAATACTCTCCCTTATTAGCTGAATTAACCTGCTTCAATTTTCATTAATAATTTATTCATCCCTTCAATTGAATCATTGTGCAGAGCATTCCAACAACTTAAAAGCAGAATCACATCCGCAGAGTATCTTGACGTTAATGCGAAACCATGTCATCGATCGGGAGATATACACCCTCCTAGTGTCCTTCACCTAGGTACTAGATAATAATCTTAATGATGTTAACAGTAACGGGTCAGATTATTAAAAGGTTACAGAATACATTAAAATAGAATTAATTCAACTAACATTTACCCACAGGCAAGAGCTTGTTAAATCACATAATAGCATGCAGACAGGCAGTCAGGCAAGCTGTGGCTTGGGGTCTCCCACCTCCAACTCCCACAAAAACACAGAAAGCAATCTATTTAGAGGCTTCACAATCATTCCCAAGGACCTTTAAAATTTATTTTTTAAGAGCAGATGCAGATAGGTAAAGAATAAACACTTAAGTGACAGTCAGCCATGAAAGTGTCATACCTACAGAGCATCCAATATGTAGCATGGTACCGATGGTTCTGATAGCAGTGTTTTTTCTGCTCTGAATTATTCCTTGCATTCCAGTCTATTACCTAATTGGTGCATTGCTCCACATGATCGATGAGTTTGTAAATGTTAACTCTAGCTAATTTGAATTAACAATAACTAACAAGGATACAGCAAGTGAATGTGGAAGCATCCTTCAGTAGGAAGGATACTGCTTAATTAAATGTTAAATACAGGGATATCTGCTTGTTTCAGGAACACCAATTTAGCACTTAATTACATTCATCCTGCACAAGTGAAAACTCATGTCCTGGCTGTAATTTGTGGGATTCAGCTCAGAATATTCTGATTTCCTGTTGATGAGTCGTAATTTCTAAATATCTAACACATTTCTAAGTTGTACAATCATGTGATAGCTCGCATTATTTTCTGGCAGTAAATATTACGGTATGCAAATCCCTGGCTCATCCTTATTGAATTATCTGGGGTAGTGTATCACTGACATGTTTTACCGCAGAACACGCTAATCTAAAAGCGGTCTGAGCATTATGGGAAATGGAATTCAACTCACACACACAGGAGTATTCACTAAAGGGTTGATTTAAGGTGAATTTTAAATCTAAGGTCAAGATAGTCAAACGGACTTAGAGCATTTTTACTCTTCAGCTATTTTGACCTTAAATTTAAAATTCACTTTGAATTCACCTTGATTCTCATTTTAGTGCACAACCCTGTTAGAATGCCGACGTAGCCTTCCGTGCAATAGATTTTGATTTCTGTTGGCCTAGTGTTAAATGGTATTTGAGGTGACAAACATTCATTGGTGATTGCTGTATATAGTTATGTAGGTAAAGTACTATACTAGTTTTCTGCTGCATTTGAATTACTGCTTAAGCAGCCATTGTGGAATGATTTAAGCAGATGAATGCTAAGAGTTTAAGTAATCTCTTCCATTCTTTCCACAAATCAGCTCAGCAATCATGTGCCAACCGAAAAGAGTTCAACTCTCCGAGAATTGCAGGCCATTCTGGAGCAGGAAAGGAGACTGCATCAAGAAGAATGTGAAAAGGTGACAGACCGGATCATTCAGGTAGTTTATTATCTAACCCATCCGTCTTCAATGTGTCAACCAGATGTAGCTCCCTATACTAAGATATTATACAGATATAACAAGGTAAATTGAGGAAATCCAGATGATTAATATCTAAATACTCTGTTGCATTACATAGGATTTAACCCTATTGTAGTATAATTTGTATCCATTATTACTCATGTAGTGAGAAAATGGTTTTAAATGATCACTAATCTAATCATTGATTACCATTTCTAAAGGCAAAAAGAACAGAAGTGCCGAAGACCTACGTCTATCCATCGATGTGGCATAACTTAATTTAAAGTGCTGGTAACCTGCTAGATAACAAATGCTGTGTAATAGCATTGACTGTAAAGTCATGAACGTTTATTCAGATTGCTATTAAATGGCCATGCAGTGATCTAGTTATTACCTTGAGCAGGAAATCTGGTAGTCTCTCTATGTACTCTCATCACACCCTCACACTGCGGAAGATGGTTCTTTTTGTTAAGTGGCTTGTTTGCAAATACCTGGTGACTCTTCTTGTTCTTCTCTGCATTTTGTAACATAACTGTGATATATAGCCCCTTGAGAGAATTAGACCTGATTTATCTCTTGCTCTACCAAGTAAAACTCTTAAAGGGTTACTCCAGGCACCAGGACTGCTTTGAAGTGGTTATGGTAATTTATAGCCTGTATGTGCAACATTTCTGATGATGTCACTTAGCCTCATTGGTGGGGAAGTGACATCCCAAAGGCCCTGCTTAGGGAGGACTAAGGTTGCATGGAGCAGGACCGAAGCACTGTTAGTCGTCTACTACACAGTCTATGCACAGAAGTCTCATTCCAGGCTGCTAATGATGCTTATGGAACTCAAGTTACACCTGTAGCCACAAAGCTCTGTATTTGCTGTGTTTTTTACGGAAATGCTGGACATAGAGACTCAAGCTTCATGACCACTTCAAATCACTGGAGTGGTCACAGTGTTTGGAAAAATCCTTCAAATTCTTACTGCATCTCCCTGCCAGAGTGAAACTGAAAATGTCCTATTCATGGTACATGTTTACTCTTATTCTTTTAAATTTATTGTACTGGCTTATTTTATGAATGTAATTGATCTCAGATGTGTCCCATGACAGTACAGTTCTTATTTACTACAAGTCTGCCCAGGACCTCTTTGGTGGTTGTTGAAATCGTGCAAAGTGTGTAACATATTATTTGTATTCGCATAAATATAAATATAAACAATGATTAGAGAAGAATGGAACCAACCATGTGAGATATGAAGCTTTGCTTTAAATGCATGTGGCGGACCTGGTATCAGTCCCTGAGGTTGCCCGAACCATATTTCATTTTCCCAAACAATACCGTATTCCCCTGGAACCGAACAGAACTTGTGTGGTCCCCCTCGTTACTCACTTAGAACACCGAACAACATTGGCAATCCACAATTAAAGGATTAACTTGAGTGCTCTCCTTGTGTGGCCGCCGTTCATATAACCGAATGCACATGGTCCAGTACATGGCCATTTTGTCTCTCCAACACAGGCAACGGCACTTGGTCATCGAGTGCGTGGAACTAATTTCAGATACACGTTCTCGCGAACCCCAGTCAGGATGGTACTGCTGCCTGTATACTTTCCCGACCAACTAGACAAACCAAACTCCCGAATAGCGATCCTGTTCCACCGAACCAATCTGAGCGCTTTTTGGATATGTTGTGCGCTCTGATACAGGCTATTCGGGAATATAACAATTGTGGGATTCCTGTAATGTTTCATTATGTTTTTTGGGTGTTTTATAATATTTTATGTGTTTCCTGTAACTGAGAGATAATTGAGTTATCAAAATTTCCAGCTCAGTTATCTCTCAGGCCCAGAGGCTCTTGGGAAAAACCCCTGTAAAATTGCTTTAGAGACCCCATACTATGGGGCTGTGCATAAAAAGCAGTGGGCTTATAAAAATCAGTTGATTTCCAGAACTGCGTGTGATCCAGTTACTGGGGGAATGGGCTATAATGAGGCATTCTTTACGTGAACTTAGTTTAACATTTATTATTTTTACTACTTTATGGGATGTTGTGTTCTTACTGATGAAGTCTGTTGGTCTATTATCTCATAGCTGGAAGAGGAACATCTGAAAAACCTACGCAGGAAAGATTTGGAGGTCCAGAGCCTCACTCTGCAGAATAAGTTGGAAGAGAAAACCTGGGGCCAGGAGAAGAGTCTCTTAGATCAGGAAGTGAGGAACTTCAAACAGAATGTCTTTGTTTTGTATGTCAAGTTAAAGTGGCTCCTGGCCCAGTGGCGCCAGTGCAAGAGGGTGGAACAAGAAGAAGTGGGGGACAAATTGCTGCAGGTACTTTCTATTACACATGTGTGGTATATTAGGAGAGCTGCAGTCTAATGCCTTATGAAATAGTCAACTTTTTAGAAATTAAAAATGTATCCATTTCTCTACAGTTCTGGATCCCTCGCCTCAGTGGATTCTATAATGAAAAAAAAATATACGAGAGTTCTTTAAAAAACAAATATCTACATCACTGAAGACAAATTGCTAGCAAATTCATACAATAAACTGAATATATATCTACCATATATCCCTATAGTTTACAAACATGCATACAAATAGCTTTCTTATCCACTGGATCCTGGGTGGTGACTGTGAGTTTACTATGTAGTTGGGATCAAGCGTACAGATCTACTTAATTGCCACACAATAAACTATAACGGTAAAGAGAAGGCTGAAATGGGATAATAAAGGTCCTTCGTATGAAGGCTACACAGTAAGATCTGATGTACCTATTAGGTATGAATTAATGTGAGTTGTTGCTTCCTGAGTCAACATAGTGAAATTCTTAACTTAATATATCATCAATGTAACTACATGAAGTTTCAGTGACAGTTATGTTGCGCTGATTCAAGTGTTTTGAATTTCCCATTTACTTCTATGAACTGTCCACCCAGAACGTTATGTGTCTTTGATTAATAATCTTTTTCACTGATTTCTTGAGTAAAACAAGTACTTACGTACACTATGTATGCCGGAGAGTGTGCTGTCCAGCACACAAAATATGTTGCCCTTGAAAGATAGCACTGTAACACAACTGTAACACTCCAAATACATCACCTCTGGCACCATTTGTTTGCAATTGGACGGCCTACATTTATCTTATTTGTATATATTTTTATCACTTTTTTTATAGAAGAACATTGATTTAATAACAATACTGTGCTGTGCCATATGCCACTTTCACAGTATCTACAGTATTTCTACAAAAGCCTTACTTGTGCCTAACTATGCATGAAACAAAAATTGTCATAAACGTCCTCATTAGGAAAACATTGTGCCACTTGAAGAAAAAATACAAATAATCTCATGAAGCTGGTAGCTAGAAATAAGTATTAATTTAATAAATTAATCATGTGATTTGACTTTAGGCTTCTAAAATAATCTATCAAATCCAGGGCTTCTTGCCACAGTGAGTCACGTCTTGGGAAGAATGCTTTATTTTGCTAATAAAATATTTCTAAGTGCATGTTACAGGTAGGATGAATGATTAATGCTCTAGCAAAAAGTTCATTGTGATGTTGTTCATCAAAAGCACAGCTCTAGTTATTTTTTGGGTTATGGTGTTACTATAAATAGTGTCTTTTTTCCAGATTGATCAATTGCCAGCCCTTCCAGAGTTTGCTGTTCACACTGAGTTCAGGGCAAGTGACCCTGATATGGAGGAAGCAGAAGACACAGATGAGGATGCAGTGTTTGCCTTACCAGATTATACCCAACATTCCACAGCTGAAAATATCAGCCCCCAACTCCAAACAGCTGAACTGCTCCAGCACCAGAAGCAGGTATTGATCTTGGTCATATGTGAAGCTCAAATTCCAATATAAATGTATTGGAGGCTCTTCAAGTATAATATTCAATTTAATTATTATAATTATAATGACAATAACAACCTTGATTTTATTGGGCATCAGATTCTAGAAATGTAGATTCCTAAAGATAAAATGATATAAGGTTTAAGTGTAATGTTGGCTACTGGTTACTGTCCAGCAATCCGTAGGGCATATGAACACTTAGTCATTGTGATTTGCATTATGTTGAGTGGTTTAAAATGTGATGAATTTAAAACTGATCAATCGATATGTATTTTGAGATATTCTATAAATGTGATCTCTGCAATCACCTAGTGGGTATCTTTTACATAAATTTTAGGCCATATATTTAGACTAGTCAACAAAAATTATACAAATAAGTGTGATGAAAATACGCTTAATATAAATAAATAAAGTGATAGCGGCCTGCACACTCTGGATACTCCTTAATATCGCACAATACAAGTACGAATTAAAAAATAATACTTAGTGTTTAGGTGATATACTCCACCAAAAACACAAAGGAGTGAGTAAATCAATGAGTCTTACATGGACAACGTACCTCCTGAAGGTATGCACAGTGGCAGCATTAACAAATGTGAAGATACAAAAGAATAAAACAAATAGTGCAATATGGTCTATATTTATATGTGAATATAAAGGAGGGTCTTATTGTGTTACCCACTAAGGGTAACACAATGCCATGGAGGAAAGTAATCAGCAATGATCTTAAAGAAGCAACTGTTGCTGCCCATCAAACTGAGAAGGGTTATAAGACTATTTCCAAATAATTTAAAGTCCATCATTCCACAGTGAGAAAGGCTATTAAAAAGCGAAAGACATTCAAGACACTTGCCAATCTTCCCAGAAGTGGAGATCCCTGCAAATTCACCCCAAGGTCAGACCATGCAATGCTCAGAGAAATTGCAAAAAAAACAATTTACAGTTCAGACTCTACAGGCCTTAGTAATCAAGTTCGTGATAGTACAATTACAAGTATAGTTTGTTCGGGTTGCCAGGAAAAAGGATCTTCTCTCAATCCACAAGACTTCTCGAACAATTTTCTTTGGATAGATGAAAACACCATTTTTGGCAAAAAAACAAACACGGCATATTAGCACAAACACCTCATACCAACTGTCAACCACGGTGGTAGAGGGTAATCATTTTGGCTTGTTTGGCACCCACAGGACCTGGGTTCCTTGCAATCATTGAGTCGACCACGGACTCCTCTGTATTCTTGGGCAAAATGTCCAATAGCTGAAGCTTGGCTGATAGTTACATAGTTACATAGTTACATAGCTGAAAAGAGACTTGCATCCATCAAGTTCAGCCTTCCTCACATTTGTTTTTTGCTGTTGATCCAAAAGAAGGCAAAAAAAAACAGTTTGAAGGTCATGCAATAGGACAATGATCCCAACACAATGGCAATGGCCCAGTCCAAACCTGAACTCGATTGAAATGCTGTGGCTGGATCTTAAGAGCACTGTGCATAAACAAATGCCAGCAAACCTCAATGAACTGAAGCAACTTTGTAAAAAAAAAGAGTGGGCCAAAATGTCTATACTGATATGTCCTTATATGTAAAACCATAGAATTCTAAAAGAGTGTAGTTTCTTATTCCCATGACTGTATAATTTAGATTGCATGTTCGGCCTGTACACACAACTCCAGCAGGGAGGCCTTCCACCAGTAGATTGCACTGTGCAAAACAATGCTCAGGCTTGTAGTGTTGGCCGCCCAAGTGAGGGTTCTTCTGAAAGAGCCTCTTTGGGTCCTTAAAATATGACTTGAAGCCTCTGTGCAGGAGTAAACTCTCAAGCTCCTCTGCAGCTCATCTAGTCTTTCCTGAATATGTAAGAGGTGATACCTCCCAATATAGCTCCCAATTTAGTCTGTGTCATGGTGATCAGGTCTATTTTAGGAGCTAAAGAGAGGACTTGTTTTGAAATTGGTTGATCAGAGAAAGCTGACTGCCAATCAGCCACACTAAGGGTAACACTAAGGGTAACACACTGTTACAGTACTCCAAACATGGTCTTAGTGCACATAACATAGCTACACATTCTGATTAAAGCAGCCTGGTACAGCAGGGCAGAAAGTCATAATTGTTATCGTCCTGCTATATTCAGGACAATTGGGAGGTCTGCAAAATGTGACAGAGGATTCCATGCAAAGAGGGAACTCTATCACACTATACCATTCTATATTTGTTAAAGTAATCTTTACTAATATCTACATCACAAGAATATTTCACTTGGAGTCCTTTCTGTTATATGGTGAATGTTGCTTACCATTTAAGTGTTTCCATTATTCTGTGCATCCCTGTGTAATGATGCACTCTTATTTGTACATTTGTCACCAAATAATGAAGTGTTATTTTTAGGTAGATCAATTAGACTTTAAAAGGTGTCACTGGTGCCAAATCAGATACTAACAGCCTTTGAGTGGAGATTATTGGAAAGACAGTCAATGTACTCGATTGGGTTGATTCAGCAGTTAAAGATGCTGATGTTTGCTCTACTAAATCTAAAATGGCTCAGCTCAATATTTTACAGTGAGATATGTAATAAAGCAACCTCTGAATAGAACAAGGCTTGCTGCTGTAGAGAATTTGAAGAAATTGTAAAGCAAAGGTTTCACTAAGTTCTATGCTAACGTGCACTTAAATGGTAATCATTTTACTGGTGTATAGATTTAATTTTATTTGCAATTTATGTGTTTTGGGCATAATACTCTCTACCTTCTGCATACGGGAAAAAGACGAGTTCTGCAAGCAGCTGCTCACTTAACTGCTCGCTCCAAAATGGAGCACTCACAGTAGCATGTTTCTGTGTGTCTGTGCTCTCCATTGT